CATAACCATCTTAGTTTGTAAGGCAAAGAGTTACATAGTCAAAAGCCCTTCCGTTCGGTGTCGATACCTATATTATGTGTCGACACCATGTCCAAAAATTTTTTTTTTTTTTTTGAAAAGTAGAAGTAATATTTATTGCTACGGAGTACAAGGGGTACCCCAAACCCGTAACCATATCAGTTTGTAGGGCAAAGAGTTACATAGTCAAAAGCCCTTCCCTTCGGTGTCGACACCTATATAAAGTGTCGACACCTTGTCCGTGTCGGAGATTCGGGGCTCAATTCATTCGTTTGGTGTCGACACCCTAATAAAGTGTCGACACTACGACCGTATCGGATTTCACACTGCTCAGCCCTTCCAGAATACCTTAACCTTCCTTGTTGATATTTTTGGCTCTGGGTTTCCTTAGTTGCATTTCTGGTACCTTCCACCTATTTGCAGCATGCTTGTATTCTTCAACCTCCTCTTATCTGTCCTACTCACTCTTTTCTTCTTCCTTCCACTGTTAACTTCAATCTGGTATTCAGCAGTCTACCCCCATCCTTCCTGCTGCCATGGCTGATCCTCAAGCATTCTGATGGATTTTGTATCCAGTCGGGTAGCGAAAAATAGCATCTATTGCTCTTGTTCTTTATCCAATGAAAAGAACGAAGTTGTATGAGCTCGAAGAGTCTTTCTTTGTCTGCCCCCTTCCCTCTAAATGTTCTCTCATTTCATGCTAACCAAATTGTCCAAATCAATGTGAACCAGATACAATCCCATCCCTTCTTCTCACCTGGCTTATTTAACAAATGAGGGTGTTGTTCAAATACCCTGCAGCAATCCTTGTCTAGCGCAGTAGTTAATCCCCACCACTTAAAACATGCTGTCCAGAGACTATAGGCTACTTTGCAATGAATAAATAAATGGTTGGAGTCTTCATACTCCCTGCCACATAGATCGCACATGCACTCTGAAATGTTTTGTAAAATACCTCTTTTCAAGAGATTAAGTTTCGTTGGTGCTCTGTCCTGCAGTAATTGCCAGGAGAAGGCTGCTATTTTATTGGGTATGAAAACATTCCAAACTTTGCTTAAATCTGCTCTGTGTTGGGCCAAACTTTGTGCTTCTGTTAATACTTGATAAGCTGTTCTCGTGGAGTAGCATCCGTCCTTAGAGTGTACCCACACGCACCGATCCAGCTTGCCTCTCACTACTGGGGTTCTTTGAAGCTCCCTCTGCAGATCTTCTTCTTGTTGTTTTTCCCAGCTATACAAGCTCCTCCTCCATTGTAATTTCCACTTCCATGCTCCGTTCACCCACTCCCCCATCTGGGATATTTTGTTATCTTTACCTGTTGACAGAGCATAGAGTCTAGGAAATTTGTTAGCTATGCTCTCCCCCCCACTCCAAATGTCCCACCAGAATTTGACCAACTCTCCTCCCCCCACTTTTATTTTAAACCCATTGGCTAACCATCCATGTTTCTCCACTGCTATAGTGTCTAGCCTGCATGTGTCTCTCCACCACAAAGAACCAAAATTAAAACCCCCCCTCAGCCAATTACAACTATGTTCCCCTTCTATGCCATACTTTTCACATATGACCTTCTTCCAAAGACCTCTCTCCTCCGACACTATCCTCCCCCACCATTTACCTAACAGAGCGAAATTCAGTTTCCCCAGATCTTTTACTCCTAGTCCTCCTCTTTCTTTATCTTTGCAAACCTCATCCCATTTCACCCAATTTATTCTATTCCCCCCTTTAATCCCGCCCCACAGAAAATTCCTACGGATTTTATCAAGAGATCGGATCGTACCTTTTGGGATCAAATACATCGACATCCAAAAGACCGGGAGGCTGGACAGCATTGAATTGATAAGAGTGAGTCGACCCCCAAGAGACAAGTAGCTAGCCTTCCATGTGGATAATTTCTTGGAGAACAGATCTACCAAAGGTTTCCAGAACCCAAGACTTCTGCAATTTCCTCCTATGGGAATTCCCAGGTACTTGTATGGGAACTCTCCTTTTTTGCAACATAGAATCCACAACATTTTGTCCAGCCAATCTTCCCCCACACAAATACCCAGCAGTTGACTCTTATGGAAATTGATTTTCAAACCAGAGCATAGCTCGAATGCTCTCAAGATTCCTTTCATTGCCCATACATTGTCCTCTGTGGCTGAACCGAACAATATCGTGTCATCAGCATATTGGAGATGTGATATTTTGAGGTTACGAGAGCCCACCTCCACTCCTTGTAGTAAACCCTTCTGAGCAGCCGTGCTAACCAGTCCATTCAGCCCTTCTGCAACAATTAAAAACAAAAAGGGAGATAAGGGATCTCCTTGCCTGAGTCCCCTTGAAACTGAAAATTGCCTTGTCGAGCTCCCGTTAACTAGAATTGACACCGTGCTCGTTTCAAGACACTCCCTGATCCATTTCCTCCAAGTGGTGCAAAACCCCATTCTCAGCATCATATAGTCAAGAAAGCTCCAGCTGACCTTGTCGTAAGCCTTTTCGAAATCAATTTTAAACATAAAAGTACTCTTCTTTCTCTTCTTTGCTTCATCGACCAACTCGTTTGCAATAACAACTCCATCCATTAGCTGCCTACCGCTGATGAATGCCATCTGTTGCTCGCCAATTAGCTCATCAAGTACCTTCTTCAATCTATTAGCAAGTATCTTGGCCAAGATTTTGTAGATAACGCCAATAAGCGAGATAGGTCTGTACTCCTCGATCTTCTGCGGGTTGTCCACCTTTGGCACTAGGACAATAAAAGAGGAGTTCAAACCCCGCACCATTTTGCTGTTTTTGTGGAACTCTTGTAGGAATTCAATGACATCTTCTTTGATTACTTCCCACTCACTCTTAACAAATCTGAAATTAAATCTGTCGGGTCCCGGCGCTTTCGAGCTATCGCATTCCCATATTGCTGCCTTAATCTCGTCAGCAGTAAAAGCCTCGATGAGCTGTCTATTATCTTCGGGTTGCACTTGCTTAAAACAAACCCCTTCCAACTTTGGGCGCTCCTCTTGCTCCTCCATGAACAGGTTTTCATAGAATGCTGCGATCTCCTCTTTCAATCTACTCACTTCTTCAATCTGCATTCCTCTAATAACAATACTATTTATTTCACTCCTCCTCCATCTGCCCTTCACACAATTATGAAAAAATTTTGTATTGGCATCCCCCTTAAGCAACCAAATCTTCCTTGATTTCTGGTGTAACATGCTTTCTTTAATCCTTATGTTTTTCCATAGGACTAGGGTAGCATCCCTTCTGCTTTTGATGTCTTCTTCTGATAGGTGCTCACTTTCACCCTTCAAATCAACTCGATCAATCTCTGTCGCAGCCTTGTTTATTTTACTATCGACTTCAGGGAGTAGATTTTTGCTCCACTTCCTTAAGGCCTCCTTTGTCATCTTCAGCTTTTCTTTAAGCCGAAATCCTGCCCAACCTTGGATGTTAGTATTACTCCAGACTTCCTTTATCAGCTCTTTGCATCCATCCTGTTCAAGCCATACGTCAAAAAACTTGAAGGGCTTAGGACCCCAGTCTACTTTTTTGTGTTTAAGCAACAGTGGACAGTGATCAAAGACTACCCTGCTTAATCCCCATTGTCTGACCTCTTCCCACTTTTCTAACCATCCCCCAGACAGTAGGAATTTGTCAATTCTGCTCATTGACTTGCCATTAGTATGATACCATGTATACTTTCTGCCAAGAAGTGGTATATCTATCAACTCCGTTTCATGGATGAAATCGTCAAACTCCCTCATCTCTGACGTTACTCCTCTACAGCCAGTCCTTTCCTCTGCTCTCCTAACTGTGTTAAAGTCTCCAACCAGACAAATGTTTCCTCCATTCCCTGATATTAAATTTTTAAGCTCCTCCCATAATGCCCTTTTCCCTGTTAAATGACACGGAGAATAGACATTGATAATGGTAATGGTAGTATTTTTTGGCAACCACATCCCTTCCACTCCTATGAAATTTTCTCCCTCTAACACCCGAATCTTTCTAATAGCTTTCTGATCCCATAAACACAACAACCCTCCTGACCTTCCTACTGGATTCTTAGCAGCCCAATCAAACTCCTCTGAACCCCAGATTGTTCTACAAATCTTTCTGTCTACCACACTTAGCTTTGTTTCTTGCACAGCTAAAAAAATCACCCTTTCTCTATTCACTAAGTCTTTAAGGTGTCTCTTTTTCCCAGCACCCCCCAACCCTCTTACGTTATGCGAAAGAATATTCATGGATTGGGGTCACTGACCTTCTGTGCCTTGCACGCTTTCTTTGATGCCTCGGCTTCCTTAACTTTCCTGTCTCTTGCTTCCATCTCCTCAAGGCTTCTAATAACTGTCTCCTCGTTCTCTGCTGTTGCCCCTATCTTTTTTGCAAAATCCCAAAGTTGCTCTGCCATTTTTCGATTTGATTGACCCATCAATAATCTGTTGCGGTTCACAATTCCACTATCTCCCAATGACCCCCCTGCTACTGAATTGCTGGTGCAAGCTATGAACTCCGGTATGCCCTCTCTTTCTGTCACTGCATGTTTCGGCTTAGCTTTGTCTCTGCCCTTTTTCTTCTGGTTCATCATTCCTAAAAGGCTAGCTCTTTAGTACACGGATCTGCACAGTTTTGCTCTCTTCCTGCTCCTTGTCTTCTCTTTTCTCCATTTCTTGTCCATCTTCTCCTTCTCCGTTCCTTCCTCACTCCGTCGACTTGTCCTGATTGTCTTTGAGTCTTCTGCGTTGTTTCCTTCCTCTGTTTGCCTTTCTAAACCGTGTAACTGCTCATTATGGCCTTCAGCTGCTAGTCTCGTTTCGGAGCCCGTTTGCATGTTGTCGCCTATATCCACTTGGGCCCAATCTACTTTATCCGAAGTTCCATCTGCAGTGCATGTTTTCTCTATTCGGCCTTCACCAACTGGTCTCACTTTGCAACCCATTTGCTGGTTGTTGCTAGAGGCCTTACAGGCCCAATCTTCTTTGCCCGATGCTCCAGCTACACTGAGTTTTTGGCCCAAATTAGCCTGCAGATCTACTCCATTGCTCTCTGGGCATTCAATAGGATCTGAAGTTGTCTGTTCCTTACATTTTGAATTTGATTCAAACTTCCCGTCATCATCTCTGCCACCTGCTTCTGACAGGTCTTCACCCACATTAATGCTATCAGCTACCATTGCCACTGACTCCTCTTCTACAATCCGGCTCAATGATCTCATGTCAGTCTCATTGTAACGTTCCCCTACGTAGCTCTTTCCTACTGATTCAAACCTTTCCTCGGAGTCCGAGATATCTACCAACCCTTTGTGCCTCCAGCTGCAATCTCGGATATCCTCCCTATCATCATCTTCTCCGACTAAAGGCTCCCATTCACCACCGTGTTTGCCACCTTGCTGTCCTTCGTCCCAATCGCTTACTTCAGACCAGTGTTCTTCAATTTCCGAATCACTCGCGAACTTTAAGATGAAGTCCTGTCTCAGTGAGAAAAGGCTATTGGTCCATTCCTCTTCCGTGAATTTTAAACTGAATAATTCCCCATTCACTTTAATTTGCCTCCTAACTGAGATTGAATCCATAATTGGCGTTGAGATGAGGAACCTTGCTATATCAAATCTCCTCTTTTTGCTTGTGCTATCATCTAGACAAATGAATTTGCCCCAAGCTGATGACATTCTCTCAAAAAAATCTGGACCCCATGCGTGTAGAGGTGCTCTTTGGCATCTTATCCATGCAAATCTTTCTTTTGCCACCTCTTTTGGAGACCAAGGCTTCACCTCTGAAAACCACTGGCCTAACCAATCTGACGCACCGTGCACTAAATCTTCAAGTTCTCCCTTATCCTCACAGTCCATGAGAACCAGATTGCCTCCCATAGCACGAAGACGGCATGTAAAATAACCTTCCATGTAGAACTTTTCCTGAAGATTTGGAACAATTTCCATAGAGTGGGCTATTCCGACGAAACACCCCTGCAGCCACTCAAATCTTCGTCTTTAACTTCAATGTCAAAGCCGGACCATTCCTCTCTTCTATTTTTCACTCTCCATGTCTGTCTTCTCAACGGCTGCCAGTTTCCTTCTCTTTTTCTGCAATTCCTTTGAACATCTTGTAGCTGTGGTGGCATTTGATGATCCTCTGTTTTCCCTTCTTTCACTCCTACTCGCCCACCAACTACATCAGCATACGATCTGTCCTGGATAGTGTTGACTGTGGGTGCGGTTCTACTAATCTCCTTCATTGCCACTTTTTCCTCTGGATACTTAGCCACATTCACCCATATTTTCCTTCCTTCAATCCGGATCTGATCTAGTTGTCTCTCAAGATCCTTTTCATTCTTGACATCCAAGAACCTGACAAAGCCGAATCTGCTACCACTCTTGTTTCCTCTCGTCGGGCTATAAATTGCTATCACTCTTCCAAACTTGCGGAAGGTTGACCACATATCTGTGTAGCTCCACTCCTCAGGGAAATTAGTGAAGAAGAAGGCTGTTGCTTGTCTGTATGTCCCCTTATCGTAACCCCAATCTCCCAACATCTTCTGCTGCCTGCTGTGTCCCGCGTATCCTCCTGCATCTGAACTCCTTGTGAAGCTGCTTCTCCCTTTTAGTCGTGCCGCCTCTCTGTCCAGTGCTGTCCAGCCATCCCTTGCTTGATATCTGCTTTTCCGATCCCAAGCTCTTTTCCTGCCTCTCTCTCTCATCTTTGCAAGTGAATTCTTGAGTAGTTCTTTGGTTTAGTAAGTACACTGGTTAACTTCAACTTATAATTAATCATGTAGTTAAGAATAATTTCGATTCCTCGGATCCATGTTAAACACTAGATTTTTTCCGCTTATTTTTGGTTCTTACTTGGTACCACATTTCATTTATTGTTAATATTTTATGAGATTTTTTAACTCATGCCTTAGGATATAGGTTAAATTTTATTTATTTCAGTATTTATAATTAATTTTATATAAATTTTTATATAAAATTTAAATATAATATAATATATAAAAA